GATCAACCGTGCACACTCGCTTGCTTGTGCACGCAGAAGGATTTATGCTGACCCCGTAAATCCGACAGTATTTCTACACACTATTCGATAGTATATAGTCTTGTATAGTAGTGTACTAAGGGATCTAGTGCGCGTAGCACTTGAAAGGGTAGCTAAACCAGGTAGCTTGAATATTAGTTGAATCTATTACTTATAAAGCGAAAGTGATAGATAGGTAAGGCGAAAGTAAGAGAGATCAGAGAAGAGTGAATCCGAAAGCTTTAGCAACAGGCTGCAGCGATCGGGCTTATAACTATCGGATTTACGGGGTTAGTATAAATCCTTTAGCGTGCACAAGTAAGCGAGTGTGCACGGTTGGTTAAATTAGTATACGATTAGCGAAGAATTGTATAGGTTAGGTCAGGTCGTACGATTCGGCTCAGAATCGGAAGTTAACTTATGATAGAAGAATGCTCTAACTTTATCACAATCATTAAACTTGATTCAACTAGCTATGGAAAACAGGCAGTATTTATAACTTCATGAAATTGAGGCAATACGTCAGACTAGAATCTCATGGAAATCAGAAGAAATATAGAGTGTTGAAGCTCTTTCGTTATGTGTGCAATCTGTTGATGTCAATTGTTGAAGATCGTCGTCACGTGGACGTTCCGTCGCATTCTGTCAAGTTCGATAGCTCTTATAGGCTTATGCACCCACTCTCTTGGGGGCTTATGCACCAACTCATGTCGACACCTACTATTTAGACTTAGCCGGATACTATATTCGTTAACTAACTACTAGCGAAATCGCTTACTCGTTATAACAAAAAACACTTAAAAGTTATTAATTATCTAATTTCCTACCTATATTAGACAAAACACCTTTCTCTCTACTTTAATAGCGAAATAAGAGCTTCTATCTTTACTACTACTTTAGATATAAGCTTTACTAATAATCCTAATCAAAAGAGTTCTAAAGGATCTATCTTTTGCCTATTCAGAGGCCTAATTAAATATAAATTACGTAAGCAGAAGACTATTACTATATTAATAACTAAAGCTAAATTACTTACAATTAGCTATATAGCTAAGTAGCTATACTAGATTAAACGCCTATTCTCTTTTATCTAATTTAACCCTAATTAATTAGATATAATTTGTCAACATAAGTGGGTGCATAAGCCCCTATGTGAGCTATCGAACTTGACAGAATGCGACGGAACGTACACGTGACGACGATCTTCAACGATTGTCATCAACAACTTGCACACATGACGAAAGAGCTACAACACTCTATTTCTCCTGATTTCTATGAGATTCTAGTCTGACGTATTGCCTCGATTTCATGAAGTTATAAATACTGCCTGTTTTCCATAGCTAAATTGAATCAAGTCTGACACTCCTTTTATTCACATGAGAGACCAAGGCCTACCTGATAGTGTAGCTCTAGTCTAATACTGCATGTTGCCTACCTGGCTACTACCTATCTAAGACTGCCGACCCCCTTCTTGTGGATAGTCATTCTTCATTGATGGGTTCTTGGCTGAATCGCACAATCACGATCCCGACTTGACCTTATCAAGAGAGAGCTCTAGGCCTACCTGATTGTATAGTAGTCTAATACTGCACGCTGCCTACCTGACTACTATCAATCTAACACTGCCGACCCCCCTCCCTCTATCGCTTGACCTGACCTGTACGATTCTTCGCCAATCGTATACTGATTTGACTAACCGTGCACACTCGCTTGCTTGTGCACGCCGAAGGATTTATGCTGACCCCGTAAATCCGACATAATTTAATATAATAATAAGAAAACTATTAACCTACTTATATAAGAGAAATCTTCCTTCTAAACTAAGCTTTATTACGTAGATATTTATTAGCTTTAGATTTAATAGGAAGTTTAAGCGAAATAGCTACGAATTAAATAGATTAAATTAGCCGAAATACTAACTAATAGACTTATAAAGCGCTTTCCTGCCGAAACATATACTGTTTTCGTTTAATAGCTAGGTATAGAAATCCTCTCTTTTCGCTAGAAGGATCCCTTTATCCCTTCTTTCTCTGTTTTATCTTATTTAGCTCTCACTTTGATTTTATTCTGCCCTTATATCGAGAGCTAAGGGGGTATATTAATATATCTATATATATATATATACATCCCTGTAATAAGCGAGGGTATATATACGTATATACGCTAATATAATCGGATATATAAAGGTTCACGTTAATGGCACGACAAGAACGTTCATGACACACAAACTAACCCCTTTTGGGTTATCTCCCACCCACTAACAAAAAGGTACCTTCGACTTCTGCATGAACACGGCTGAGGCCTTAGGTATACAACCATATCTCTCTATGTAAGCCTAAATATTAATTCTACCTTAAGTATGTGACCACTTAACTATCAGTAATTACAAAGTTTCTGCTACTTTTATAAATGGTGCTCTGTTGTAACGCGGCATTAATGGCTTAGCAGTGTTTTTGTAGGGGTCGAGGGTACACTTTAGCGGCGGGTGGGAGCTAACTGAAAGGGGCTTAGTATGTCGTGTCATGAACGCTCTTGTCGTGCCATTAATATCATCCTATATAAATCTGTATCCCTGATACACCGCTTTATAATATACGATGCTAATTATTAAAAAATTGTTTGGATAGAAAGAATAACGAGTTTCCTAACACTCCTGTATGCCCTTATATTATTTCGGATTTTTATTAGTCTTTTCCTGTGATATTCTGCTATATACCTAAAGTTATAAATACTGCCTGTTTCCCTAGTTAAATTGAATAAGTTTAACGACAATATTATAAGTTTGACACCCTTTTCACTTACGAACAGAGCTTAAGGCAATTCTAATTGAAATTATGTTGACCCTCTACTATTCAACCTGTTCGCTGCCGACCTACCTCTATTGCACCTTCATTCTATAATTGTGGTATTCGATCGACCTGTGTGCACCTCTAAGTATACCCCCTAGGGTTTATGCATACAGCGTAAATCCGACAGGATCTTCCTAATCCTCCTAGAAAACCTTCTCGACCTAGGTAATAATCGCGATTAAATCGTAGGTATCGCTAAGTATTAAGGTAGAGGGCTATCGAAGTCAGAAACTTTTCCTAAAGAAGGATTAGCGAAACCTATAGGAATATAAGTCGAACTACGATCTGTATACTGTTAATACGCGATAGAAGCCTTAGCGTCTAAAACGCACTCGATCTCGAAGGGGATATCTAGCTTAGGCTTAAAGTTCTTTACTAAAGTCTGTAGATAGTGTATACACTAAAAGTGCTTTAGCTTCTAGGGGACTGCGTAAGTTACCTGAGTCCAGGGTGCCTTTCAGCGAGGTATCGTGAGGTTTTCGATACGTATTCGATAGATAAGAGATACTAAAACGGGCGGATAGATAATAAAGAAGAGTAGAAGAGGAAAAGGATAAAGAAGGGAAAAGGAGGATATTAGTAATAATAACAAAGAAACGCGCTTCCTTTGTTTACCCCTCTACTAGGCAACCCTCTAGTGTTAACTTTCCTATACGCTCCTTCCTTGTTTGACTACTACTCTTTATAATTGTTTACGCGTCTGTTTACCTCGCTTAAGGGCAAGCGATCCTTAAAGGGAGGATAATTATTACGATATACCTAATATAAGGCTATCCACAAATGCCGGTGCCTTAGGCTACCAGGACCGTAGTAAGCCGCTAAACTTTCGGTAGGGGTTCACTAGGGCTTCGCTGCTAGTACCTATACGGACCGCTGCAAGGAAGGCCCTTATAGAGTATCCTTATATAGATAGGCACGAAAGATTTCTTCTCTCCACTGCTATCGAACCAACCTAGTAAGCTACGGCGAGAGATCGGTTAATCTTTCTGGCAGATTAGCCTGCGTACGCTAAACGGGCAATCTGATGTTTTATTTAGCGTTAGCCGCGGGAGGGTGGCTCCTTTTAGGATTTCTTTATTCTCCTACCCTTTCCCCTTTATCCAGCTAGCAATTAGTGTAATTTATCTTACTACCCTTCTGCTATCCTTTATTATTCACTTATTTTACTCTTACCGATATCTCTCGTCACGATAGAGTAGTATGGTAACGATCTTAACTAGCTTCGCTAAGTAATTGATAACGAATTGAATAGCATTATCAAGGGCTTACGTGCTTGAATTAACGTTCCCTAGTAATAAACTACCTCACTTCGCTAATCCTGTAGCCACGATCGCGGCCGAAACAATTACTTCCGAATCCTAAAAAATTCAGAGTTGCAAATTGAACAAAGAGCGGGAAACTAGAGTCATTTTCAGCAGAAGCCTTTGTCCAATGGCACTGGAAGTATCCGTCTAATAGCACCGAAGCTCGGCGAGCCAATCATCGCGATCTCGGTCCAATTTCGCGTCAAATTTTGTATAGGATTTAGCAGTCTTGCGATTGTTCGTGAAATCCAAGAAAATAAGGTTTCACGTTCCAATCACGTGCGGGACGTTTCCCCTTAGTCTCATTTCATTCGTTTCAGGGCACGGGCGGAAAAGGAGGCGGTATACAGATTGTCCAGTCATATTGGATCTTGGTTTTTCGCGACGAGCAACCTATTAACCGCCGCCTCCATTTACCAACATAAATGCGCCTATACACAGGATTTTGTCCGCCAGATGGGCCTTTTCTGTCTAGACTGCCGACGCTTCAATGAGGACGATTAGGCTCAGGTTTAGTGAGTAAATGTCAGCACGGGCTCATGGTCACTGACCAGTTTAGTACAGTTATGTGATCGCTCAGTATGCCTCTTATCTGACAATTTGTATTGTCTCTAATCACATGATTACTCTTTGCGGATACATAGTATCTCCTTTCTCCGGGTATCAACCAGCGCTGTTGTTCCGGCATCCGGCACTTCCGATATCATGTGATAAACTATATCATCATTACGTCCGTCTTGAAGCACAGAGAATCCACGTATTATCTTTCAAATAGTTAAACAATTCTTCAGACTAATTTTGTGGTTCTATTCCACATGAGATACACATCATGGAGTCCCCCGAATCGGCATCTGTTTGGAAGAAAATCCAAACGAAGCTGGGACTGAATATCCCCATCGTGCTGTTGATGTTCAAGTATGCTTTGCCTAGAGCTTGGTTCCCCACCACTGATGGCGTCCCTCTTCATATCATATAGTCCGATCCTAAACTGACGGGTATGGACTACAGAGGCGCAATTGCACCGACAATTGGACTCTCAATGTACATCCACTCTCTCCAGCGAGGCTAGTAAATCATACTGACATTCTGCAGATATCAGAGCGAGGCTGTGGCACGACAATTTTCTACCATTGGCTATCTCATTCCCATAATGTCGATTCTTACGATTCCAGTCGCTCCACGAGCCCGATTCTTCCAAAATCTTATAGTGGCCACGGTATGGACCTGTAATTTTATGACATAGCCTGTCTGTGTTAACTTTCATTTTTTACGCTAGCTTTCGGTTGGTTTCGCAGTCGCAGTCTCTTTCTTATCAATGTGGTGTGCCGTTCAGGCTCGCGCAAACACCACCCACGTACCCCAGGGAGCCAACAATGCTGGTCCGGTTGCTGGTTCTCCTGTAAGCCCGTATAACGCTGCTGCGAGTGCTAACATGGCAATCTGGTTGTCATTCGAAGTGTGGCTGGCAAATACGTATGGTTGTTGGTCAAATTCCCTGCTATAAGCTCCCAAGATTGACGGATGGAGTAGATTCCGTGCTTTTCGACCGCAATACTTCCTTCCCTCGATAATATTTTCCATTTTTATCCAGGTGACGGCAACCTATGGAACTCGGTTCGAAACGATGGATGAGGCTGGATCATTAAGTAAGATTTCCCTATTTTCAATAGTAGCAGTATATACTTGCTAATTGCAAGATTCTTCTCCAGTCAAACATTTGGTGGGTTCATTTTTTGCGGGATTCGGACTATCGGCAGCAGTCAATGTGTTGATTATTCCACTCACATCTCGAAAGCTTGTCATTATGGAGATGGTGGCGAATTTCGATGCGATCCGAAGAACACTGGATGCCCAACGTGAATTTGCGCAATCCTTATCCTTGCGTGACTGGCGTTTTCCCAATGATAACCCAGATGTCCCCCAGCAGGAGCATACACCTTCCTGGCCAGAAGCAAACAGCCTGAAAAGTGCAACCATGGAAGCTGCCAGAACCCTTGGAAGGGTAGCATCGGAATTGCGCTACGCCCAACGCGAGGTCGGTTGGGATTACCTAGGGCCCAAAGAACTATCAAACATCACTCGCATATTGAAGAAGGTATTGGCCTCAATGCTGTGGATGGAGTCACTTGTCCAAGTCTCCAGACGTATCCCTCGTTTAGCGAGCGAGATGGAGGGTATCTATCGTGAAGAGGAACAGCAGAAGTGGTGTTGGGCATTGGAGCAAAGGCGCCGCCCCACTGAACAACTTATCCAAGCAATGAAGGAAGGTCTCGAGCACTCCATGCACATTCTTCGCCTCGGCAGAGCGCGAGCGGTACCTCAATCGGACATTGAAGCTAATAGAGTTCATGCGAGCTCACACTTGGAAGAGATGATTGAACGCTTCCTTCAAGGAAGGCAGGATCCATTAAAGACCTGGCTCTCATGCACAGACATTAATCAATCTTCTGAAGTACCTACGGTGGTAGGTTCTCGGCAACCTGAACGGCATCGATTTCAGCTCTACTTCCTCCTTGATGTAGGCTTCTCCTAGCCCCTGGGTTGAAAATGCATACACTGACTTTCATTGTAGATGGAATCTTCGCTCATTTCGACTGCGAGAAGAATACTAGACCTGGTCAAATACGCGGATTCTAAGGTGGATGATTGTACTATGAATAAAAAGCGACTAGTGCTCCCAACATGGAAGCAGATGAAAAAATGGTTCTGGACCTCATTGTCTAGGGAGGACCAAGAATTGGATTATTATCAGTACAGCAGAAGATCCGGAACTGTCAAGATATACCTGGGCGATGTCTTACAGACTAGTACAGATCCAGAGCATCTTCTACCCCAAAGCACGTGGGAGAGGATTGGTGATAACTTCCGGAGGGGTTTTAACTTCTTTGGTTCGCCTGAGTCTGTGTTTGGCTTTCGAGTAGCCGTGGCTACCATGGCTGTTTCACTCGTTGCATTTCTCAGAAACTCGCAGCACTTCTACATCGAGCAACGTCTCATCTGGGGTTCGATAATGATTGCAATTAGCATGGCACCGACCGTTGGGTCGGCTATGTATGGTCAATCAATGCGGGTCCTTGGGACATTTATTGGAATGGTTATGTCGTATATTAACTGGTACATCGTCGACCAACAGCAAGCAGGTGTCCTTGTCTTCGTTGGGATCACAATGTTCTTGTCCCACTACCCGTTAATTAGGTTTCCCACTCATTCTGTGCCGCCTATTGTCGAAATGGTCACAGTCATGTTAATTGTGGGCTATGCTCTTCAGGTGAAGAAAGTGGGGGTCATCTTCTCCGAGTCCAACGGGCAAGCATATCACGATCTATACATTCTGTCGCCTTATCGACTCGCTACTGTTGTCGGTGGGATCGGGGTTGCTTTTCTTTTCACATATTTTCCCTCTGCAGCCACAGTCAAAAACTGCTTCCGACGAGATCTTGCTTCATTGCTGTATCTTCTCGCACATTACTACCGGTCTGTGTACACGACGAACTCTTTGTTAGTCAACGGTTTGGCTGGAGATCATAGCGACAATAAGAGCCTCGGGAGAGTCCTTGAAGAAGCTCGCACTCGTGTGCTTGCCAAGGAAATTGTTCTCTTACAGGCAATGGAACAGCACAGCTGGTTTGTCCACTGGGAACCTACTATTGGAGGGAAATTCCCCAGGGATGCCTATAATAAATTGGCTGAGCATGCGCGAAAGTAAGCTTGTTCCTCATCCGTTCCGATTGTTGCGAACACTTAAATATTGTATCCCTAGCGTACTTCAGTTTTCGGCAACATTAATCGAAATCGCGGACTCATTCCATCTCGCTGGACAAATGTCCTCACAGCCGTGGGTAGAAGACATCAGACGGCTAGTAACTTCCTTGGACTTGAAGTCTCATGAAGTGACATCTCTTCTCATGACACTATCGGGTGCCATCAAAACCGGGAACCCATTGCCTCTTTATTTTAAGGCGCCCAAAATTCGTCTGCCTACCGAGCTGCTTGCTGCTGCTGCTCCCGATGCGAGCATTCTCAGCGCAGAAAATTCCAGCGAACCGGCGTTTTCAGCCATTGCTTCGATGGATATTACCATGATGGCCCTGCAAGACGATCTATCTCAACTATTGTCGGGGACGAAACATCTTGTGGGAGAGTTAAATTTGTTGACAGACATTGTTCCCAGCAAAGAATTGCCTGCTGATGTGGATTCCATACTGGCAAGGGAGAAAAGAGATTGACTTCTGTATCTTCGCTTTTATATAGCGAAATTTATTTTTACAAACAACTCTAATTATTAATATAGGATCTAGTTAACGGCACGACAAGAACGTTCACGGCACGATATACTAACCACTTTCGGGTTAGCGCGGACCCACTACCAAAAGGTACACTCGACCTCTGCATAAACATACTAAGCTATTTATGTATATATATCTCTATACATAAGAAATTTGGAATATTCCATATAGTGTTACCTTGACCTTAGCAATATACCTACGTAAGGGTTAGTAAATATTATATCCCTTGCTACTACAACAATCACTACTCTATAGCAACGCTATTTTACCCTTACTAGCCCTTTATAATAACCTCGAATTTCCCTATCTACTACCTCTTAATTTACCTTTCTATCTAAATCGCTCAAATCCGTAGAGATTTTAGAATAGCGTTAATTTCTAAATTAGGAAGCTAGGATACTATAATATTAATCGATTTCACTACGCCTTTCGCCTACACTTTACACCCTTTTCTACTTAATCCTTCTTCGCAGCGCCCTGCTCGCTATACTACTAGCTACCGGGTCTAGTTTGTCAGAGCTCTGCGACGGTAGACTAAGCTCAAGACAGCAATCATAAACACGCATGATAGCTAGATGTGGAACCTACGGCTATAGCGTCCAGAATCCAGATTGATAGTAACTTCCTCGCTAGTTCGGTTAACGAGGAGCAAGATTCCGTGTACAATGTATAATACTTACGATATTGATTTACCCTACGACGACAAATATAAGAAAAAAATAGAAAATCTTTATCAATAATGTCTATAATATCCTGAATTCGAGATAAACCGCAGCAAATTCAGCGGCACCATATTCGCTATATTTATGCCTAGGTACAATATGCGGTGCTGTACGCTGGAGTCTACAAATTCTTAATTAGGAAGGCACCGTCGAGTGCACGATCAACAACAGAGCTTCTTCACCGTTGCACCTCGCTCTGATACTGCTAGTTTTCTTATTTTCAACAAGCTCCCGATCAATACTTCGCTATCAGGCTTCAAGCTCCCACTTTATCAACAATCACTCTACAGCTACATCATCATGGCAGTCTCAGTCACGCATAGCGCGTCCGGCCTCTTACTCGAACCTCTCCCTAATCTCGACACTCCCGCTCGCCGCACTGTCAGCCACGCGTTGCACCGGATCAAGTTCGTCGGAGCTCTGGGGCAATGGACCAACTTCGAGACAGAAGTCGCGAACACCTACAACAGCCAGACATGGAACTTGCGCGAAATAGCGTCCAGATTGACAGCCAACTTCCTCGCCGGTTCAGTTCACGAAGAGCAAGTTTTCGTGAGTGACGAGCGCGGTGTGCAAGGCAGACTCGAGGGACGAGCAGGAATAGCTCTAGGAGCTGTCTTCGGCGCCCAGAACCTTGATCTTAAGCTAGGTGCCTCTAAGGGGGCTTTGCCGCCGTATCCAGGATACAAAAAAGCCCCCCGACTTTGTGCTTATGACCTCGGCTCACGAAGCAAAGGTTGTGGGAGAAGTCAAGGTTCCCTGGATACGCGAGCACAACCTAAGGAAGTTGATCACTGAGTTTGAGTCTGGGGCTAAGCAAGATAATTTCCGGCACGTACTAGGTTAGTCTTATGAGCTATTGAAAGGAATAAATATACACTGACGCGCATATGTAGGTCAAATCGCGGAGTACATGTTCAACTCAGGCTTGAAGTATGGGTTCTTGACTACGTACGAGCATACGATTTTTCTTCGAAAGGAGGAAGTCGGTCGAGCTTGGGGACTGGAGTATTCTCCGGTGATTTACCAGTGACAGAGGAAGTACTTCAGGCAGGACGGTGTCATTTTGTCAGAGTCTCTACCATATTGGATTATTAGCCCTCGCGGACTCGAATTTTGACACTAGCACAGGCATGCGGAACCAGAAGTGGACGGCTCCCTTATAAAAGGCCACAGTCTTGTCACCGAATTCAACATAATAAGAGGACAAACAAACAATCTTGCTTCCTCCTCAGCTACCATTGCCAGCGTGAAGTATCTTTATCCCAGTCACTATCACGTTCATCCGTAGAGGGGTCCGGCTTGGCGAGATCGAAATGCGCAATCCACTTGGCACCGAACATAATCGGACGTTCGGGCTTGCCGGCCTTCTCAAAGGGTCCGATAAAGTAGCTATATGGAGTAAATTAGTAAGTTTGTCACCTCAGGTCGTTGGGATAATATAGCAATAACGTACAGTGTTTGCGTCTCCTGGTGCCAAACTAGGCTGCTTGCCCCGCACACACGGGGGAACCACCCGTTCTCATGCAGCTTACTACATAGTCGACAATGATTAGATCCAGTATCAAATACAGAAGAAACATCAACTTACGGTAGAGCCTTAAGAAAAGCCAAGCGAACTTGCTCCCTTTCGTCGCTTTCGAGAGCCCAAAAGGGGTCAGCGCCATTGCCGTCTCCGAGGCGCAGCCCTGGGACGATCTCCCACACAAGCCAGATAATGAACCCACCCGGAACTAACCCCGAGCGATCCTGTTTATCGGTCTTGTATCCGAGAAGCTTTGGTGTGTCACTCGAGCCCTTTTCAGTTAGGTCCCGGTAGGCGATCAATTCTGGGGGGTTGTATGTTGTGGCTTGTCGGCTTCTGGTATCCGCATCATCCATTTCAGTCTTCCGATGGGGAACTTGAATGTAGATGCGCATGAAGGCTTTCTTAGTCCGGGCTCTGGGATCGCAGCATAGATATTTGGCCGAGGCGAAAGAACGGAAGCCATACTCATCGTTTTCCTCCTCGTTAACCTGATAGTCATGCTCGTTCAGCTTCTCAAGAATCTTCCATCTGGAAGGGACGGGTTGGTCAAGGGTGATGGTAGTTCCAGGGTCAGGGCCCTTACGGAACCAGGCTGAGTATGAGGATGACATTGGAGTTGCTTTAGATGCTTTGGAGATGGGTTTCTTGGATAGGTTACGAGGTTGAGAGGAGGAGCGTTGACGTGAGGCTCTTATGTGGGGCAGACTGGCAGCTATAGCGCCTTGCGCTAGCCGTATTTGGAGGTGGATACCTGGTGGCTAAATTGCCTAAAATTCCTAGCCGACAATCAAGCTAACTAACTATCGGAATACTGCTCGGTGGATCATACTGGTGCACCAATAGGATATCAACAGGTCTGAATTGAAAGCCCCTAGCTGGCAATTTGTGTGGGCTCTACTACATGACTAATCTATACGGATGTACAGGATCTCCTTTCTCCGGGTATCCACCCATCCTGCTGTGCTCCGACATTTACTGAAAATCCAGGCATCCTCAGGCAGGGGGCGGCTATCACTCTCTCCAACATGAAAAAAAACATTCTTCTACACAAGCTCATTCTCGCCGAAGTAAATTATCCACTACAATTACTTTTACCTCCTGATATTCCATTCCCTCGGAGTCAATACTTAATAAATATCGATCTCCGTACCCTTGCCCTCTTGTCCCCTTGCTCGTACCTACATGAAATATGTTGTGCCAGGCCGCGAAGGCTAATCCCGAACCTCCTCCACCCCACAGGTAATCCCCGCCATGGGTTATGGTATATTATCTTCCTGCACGAGCCCGCCTATGGCTAGTATCTATCCGTCACGGTGATTGGTCTAAATGTATCCTCGGCATTGCACAATGTTATTGCCTGGATGAAGAATCGACCATTTTTATCCTGTCGTGTTCCGATGTTATACATTATCACTGTTATTCTCTGTTGGCCATATTAGGTTGTCGAGATCTAGGTATGCTAATTTCACTTACTCCAACAATAATAATAATCTGTTTCATACGGCTCGTCCGCTTGAGCTATTTTCAGGTTAGAGAGAGTGACTATCTTACAATCCGTTCAAAAAGTTTCCCGGCACACTCTAATTCTAGCGCGTTTTTATAGAACGCGTTCCAACCCTCATTCTATTTTTTTACCTACACAACCATAGAACGCTCCTTTGGCACAGTTATTAGTGGTAGCCGAAGACGAAAGGCAGAGCTATCGCCTGAGCAGCGCGCTGCTATCGTATCCTAGTATAAGAGTAGGCACACGCCTACTAAGCTGGCGCGCGAATTCGACTGCACACGTAGTACATTTTATGATTCACTCGAAAGCTTCAAACAGCACAACGCCGTTAAATCCCTACCTTATAGTGGACGCCCTACCCAGATTTGCCCTCGCGCTGTACGCTAGATATATTAAGTAGCCCGTCGGAATCCTAACTAGAGCTACCTAGCGCTTCGGTCGCAGCTACCCAATCCGCTATGCAAATCTACTATTCGGTCAATTTTTATCACATACGGGCTTCACAAACGCCGTGCGAGAAAGCGAATCCCTTTAACAGTCAATGGTGCACGCGCGCGTTACCGATTTGCGCTTCGATAGCTACGCTATCGCACGTCGGACCACTGGATATTCTCGGACGAATATTCCGTGGAAAGGCACTCTAAGACTATCGGTTTTAGTAGGGGCTAGGTCTGGCGGTTCACCTCAGAAGCTGATGGCGATCTATCGCCACTACGCAAGGAAGCAGGAGAGGAACAATCTAGTTCGAATACTTGGAGAACTATCTCTGCAGAAGAAGAAAGGAAACAAAGAAGGGAAAGGCCTATATAGGCCGAAGCAATCAACATGGCCCTAGAATCAATCTCCAGGAGAATCCCGACCGGGGATTCCCTCGAGGGAGATCCCTATCGGATCTCTATCACACCCCCTGCAGGGCCAGCACAGAAAAACAACAGGAACAGGGGAAAATCAGTCAATCTAATCAATCGCTTAACTCGCTTAGCATTCTGGTTTAGCTAATAGGGGCACCTAAATCACTAGGGCTCGTATGTGTAGTAAATACCTTCTGTTCTCTTCGAAAACGGGGTGAGGCTTCGCCTTTGTCAGGATATCGGCGGGATTAGCTTTGCTAGGTATATTCACTAGGGTAATTAAATTCTTTCGTATATAATCGCGTATCAAATAGTAGCGAGTGCTAATCTAATTTATTTTGGGTGTAATCTTTGAATTTATAACAGTCGTAATCGCGTTATCGGAGTCGCTATAAAGTAGTAATAGGGTATTCTTTTCAAAATCCTTATCCTAATTCAATAGGTCCCTTAGGCTAAGGTTAGCGTATAACTTAGCTAGGTAAAGACCTTCCTTTAGAGTAGGTGTTATTACGTAGTATTCGGCTATTATAGACGATATAGCTACTATCTCCTGTCTATTCGAAGACTAGGAGATCGAGGCGCCTACAAAGAACTAAATATAGGCTTCGGTGGATTTGCTATCTTCTATATTACTATATAAAGAATTAATATAACCTTCTAGGCCTTTCGTAGGATCTCTTCTAAATAGGATTCTTAGGTTAAGCGTACTAGTAAGGTATTACAAAAGGTCTCTATAAGCTAATATATCTGTTTCCCTTAGGGAACTATTTCGCCTTTATAATTTAGAAATAGCCGAAGTAATATTAGGGCGTATTTTGATAGATAGCTAGCTAACCTTCCTTATCTTCTATACGTATTTTAATTTATCGACGTAATTAGCTAGGTCTAGCTTTTCGATAGGTGTTCTCTAGGATAAATTTATTAGAATTAATATAGGATTAGTGTTTTGTAAGCCTACGTTGTAAATAAGGTATATTAGATAGGCCTATTAGTTAGTAGGGATTATAGTTCCTTCTTATATAATATTATATCCTAAGAATCGGTTAAATAGTAGCTCTTTTAGCTTTCTCTTACTCGTAAGACCTTATATAATAATAGTAACTTCTACTTCTTTACTAGTTATAAGTATATTGTTAACATAAATTATAATATAGACTAAAAAATCCGGGTTTGTATAAATATATAGCTTTAATTCTAATAGCTTTAATTCTAATAGCTTTAATTCTAATAGCTTAAGACTTAATTCGTCGAGGTCTTTTATATACACTTTGTATTAAAGGTAGCCTACTTAACGTAATCTATAGAGGGCCTAATTTAATAGGTAAACAAATTCGGTTCTATTAGGGCTATAGTATTCGTAGCTAGTAGGCTATTTATAAAAATTATATAATTATTAAGTACTATATTAATATAAGTAGTAACTATATCCTATTATTATACTCTATAGCTACTAATTATAGCTATCAATAAGAAAAGCTTTACTATAGTATCTAATATAACTAGTGTATATTGTTTGTTAGGTTAGAAATTAACTCCTAGGGTTTAGTAGTTATTACAAATTACTTATTGTCGGATTTACGAGGTCAGCATAAATCCTTCGGCGTGCACAAGCAAGCGAGTGTGCACGGTTGGCCAAATCAGTATACGATTGGCGAAGAATCGTATAGGTCAGGTCAGGTCGTCGTACGATTCGGCTCAGAATCGGAAGTTAACTTATGATAGAAGAATGCTCCAACTTCATCACAATCATTAAACTTGATTCAACTAGCTATAGAAAACAGATAGTATTTATAACTTCATGAAATCAAGGTAATACGTCAGACTAGAATCTCATAGAAATCAGAAGAAATATAGAGTGTTGAAGCTCTTTCGTCATGTGTGCAATCTGTTGATGTCAATCGTTGAAGATCGTCGTCATGTGGACGTTCCGTCGCATTCTGTCAAGTTCGATAGCTCTTATGGGCTTATGTACCCACTCTCTTGGGGGCTTATGCACCCACTCATGTCGACACTTATCTAGCGTAGAATTTAAGGATATATCCTTCGCTATCTTATTTTAAGTTATAGACCCATTTATTAGGAAGGATCGATATACCTTTTAGTAGTTATCGAACTAAGGTTATAGTATTAGCTACTATAATCTTCCC